TATGCACCGGTATTACGGTTTTCCGGTATGCACCGGTTTTACGGTTTTCCGGTATGTACCGGTATTACGGTATACCGTTGTAGCGGTATTTGTGCAAAAACCGGTATACCGGTTAACCSGTATACCGGTATTGACGGTATACCGAAAAACTCGTCAACCCTAGTATAACACTTATGTAGATTTCCCTAAACTCATTAAACGTTATGCAACACAGTAACTACCTACGTGTACCTATTTATTTATTGTTATTTATTAATATTTCAACGCTGCAAGGGCATGATTATGATTAAATATTTGCTGAGATATTTTTTATTTTTTCAGTTTCAACCGTTCTGTTAGGGCGGGTTCACATGGACGCGCGTCAACCGCGAACTATTGTCGTGTACATAGGTTTTATAGTCTGTATAACGCTGACATTCAACGAAAATGGACGTGTCAGATGCTCTGTGTTTATGGGTCATATACCGAAGAATGAGAAGACGAAGACAAAAAGAATGAAGAAAATATTGGGTCCATCCTATTTTAGAAACAAGACTTTCTTCAAGTCATTACATTACTTTATATCCCTAAGCTTAGGGATCACGAGGAAAATTTTTTAACTACTTCCGCATGTCCATCAAATCATTTGATGACCTGTTAGATACAGTTAAAAATGACTTAGAAGCAAATGAATATGCTGTAAGATATTATATTTCACCACAAGAAAACTTATCGTTACTTTGAGGTAAGGTCATTTACATTATTATTCATACAAATAAAAACAAAAATGTTTAATAATAATTTTATTAATTGAAACAAAACAAAATATTAAACTTTTTTAACTAAAAAATGTTTTCTCAACTTGATCGGTATGTAAGAGCAAATAGTAACAAAAAAAATCAATACTTTTTAACAAAATTTAAACATGGTAAAATTAATCAACATAATTACATTTTGTATTAAATTGTTTTTCATGAAAATAAATCAATGTCTGATGATCGTTTAGAATTCTCAGTGATACCTGATAATGGTGATGAAGTTCCTGAAAATTCCAAATTTTGGTTTCTTCGTTTATTAACATAATCTTGACGTATTTCATATGGAATAGTTTTAAAATGTGGACCTAATCTCGTATTTTGGTTGAATAAGTCATGGTTCTGTTGCATATCAAACGGCGGAGCATTTGTATAAGTATATTGTGGATACGCTAGTAGTGGATGCTTGAATAGATGGAGAAGACTTTATACCTACGACTTGGAGGTTGTTGTTGTTGTATGGTTTGTTTATGTAAAATTAAATTATAAATATAATATCAATCTTTGTTTTAAATCGCATGGCCTCGGGTACYTTTTTAATTTCTTTATACGACGACATACAAAATGGTTTATCTTCATCTTCCTCCTTTTTATCGGAGATATTTCTATTATTTAAACTTTTCTCAATGATGTTGGCAAAATGTTCGTCAGCTGGATGGAGCTTAGGTTTTTTTCTTTGTTGCTGTTGGTTTGAATTTTTGTCTGTCTGGTTTGGAGTTTTAGGACTGCTCTCCTGGTTTGTGTTTTCTGTTTCTGGATTCTCGTCATTGTCATTATCTGGTTCAAAGCTGCTTTCTGTTGCATTTTTTTGAACCGTTGGTTGTAGAAATAGTAGTATCCTAAAAAATAAATACGATGACTTAACGGGTGCTGCTGATCCAAGCTTAACGGTTTTTATTTTTTTCAGTTCCTTCACATAACTATCTCGAAGACTTTTCCATTTCTTCTGTAAATCCATACCTAAAACAAAAAATATTGATAATGTACCGCGTTGTACAAAATTAATAATTATAGTCTACATTAAAATGACAAAATGTAGGCAGAACAAAAACATGTATGTACATGTCGATTAAATAATGAAAACAAAAGTGGTTAAGTGGATGTCACTCTAATGTACGGTAGATTATAAGTGGATCACTGTAATGTACGGTGTTAAATTCTAATAAACGATTTTAAGTAAAGACGATTTATGGGCATATGATATTATTGTGATTAAAGTAATTTATTTTACTAATAGCAATTACCACGGAGTAAGGTTAACTTAATTTTCGACATAAAAATTACATACGTAATAAGAAAATATCATTACGTGTATAAAATATAATAGTATAGGTACTCTGCAAAATCATATAGGTGCGAATGAATAATATTTTTAATTTACAACAAAATTACTTAAATCGATAAAATTTGTGTTAATATGTAATATATATCCTAATTTATACTTAAAATAATAAAATGTAGCAGTGCAGTTTAAATATTTTTAATCCTTACCTATCAAAATTGGAAATTTTATAATTTTTTATGAACAAAATAATTTTTTAATTTTCAATTTGATACATTATGTCAAAATTTAAAATGCTTATAAAAAACATCGTACCTATATATTTAAAACATTGGAATCTGAAAATGTCCGTTAACAGCTCACACCAAAAACCAAACTAGATTTTGTCGAAAACCGTTTTTACRTAAAAATTACCGTTTTTCCTTAATTTTCAGTTAGTGTTTCTTGCCGATTTTGTAAACTATTGGGAATTTAAAAAAATACTTACCCAAAATATTAAAAATATGATAATAATGGCATGATGATTTTTTTTATAACCATTTATAGTTCAAATTTTGACAACATTTATTTAATTGAAAATTTACAAATTATTTAGTTAATAAAAATATATTAATTCTATAACTTTAATAACTAAGTATAGACAATTCAAAACAAGATTTCACGTATAAATAGTTAATTCAAGTTGAAATTCTACGACGAAAAAAATCTAAAAACTATACAAACACAGTTTCTTTTATAGCTTTATTTGAARTTCAAATTCGGAGGAAATAACCAAGAATAGCAATTTTAGTTATTTTATTGTAATTTAAAATTATTATTCGTGGGTACTTGAAACTTATTGAGCTAGTATCTATATTGTATATTTAATTTTAATAGTTAATGTCGTTAATGACATTAATAATTTATAATAAATTGTATGTAGGTACTATGAATGACTGTGAGTCGGGTTCATAATGAATCTGATTTGATTAATCTGGAATCTATTTTATAGGTACCTACATTTTTTTTGTTTTGAAATAATAACAAAATAATTAATATAATTTAATATATCCTATGCTAACAAACGGTCTCAGCTCAGAATCGTTTTTCTTATACAATGATATCATATCATTGAATTCAAATTTATTACCATCCATTACAGTAACCTACTGTACAGCAATGCGACGTCTACGTACCGGCTTTTTTTTTTATTTAAGACAGATTTTTGATCGACATTAATTTAAAAAAAAATAATGATAATTGTTTTATTTTGGTCAACATTACGACCTTATAATGTTATCAGTGTTATCACCATTGTTTTCTCTTTTATTTTATAGGTACTTGTCAACAGGTTGCTCAATAACCGAGTTACATTACAATTATAGAATTGGAATATCTACGCTGAGTAGAATAATACGCCAGATATGTCAAGTAATATGGGCAAAATTAAAAAATGTTGTAATGAAGGAACCTAAAAAACAGAAGTGGATAGACATTTCAAATGAATTTGAAAAACATGCAAAATTCCCAAACTGTATTGAAGCGTTAGATGGAAAGCATATTCGAATGATTCAACCACCAGATTCCGGTTCTATATATTATAACTACAAGCATTTTTTTTTCCTTTTGTTGTAATGGCTTTATGTGACTCAAACTATTGCTTCATATGGATTGATATTCGAGGTTTTGGTAAAGATGTGACTCGGGAATTTTTAAAGAATCTACTTTATATAAAAAACTGACAAAAAAATATTTAGATATTCCTGATCCCAGATTTATAACTAATAATGAAGATATTAGAGTTCCGTATGTAATCGTGGCAGACGAAGCATTTGGTATGTCAGAAAATTTGATGAGGCCTTATGCTGGTAAAATGCTATCATATGAAAAAAAGATATTCAACTATCGTTTAACCTTAGCACGCCGTTATGTGGAATACACATTTGGAATAATGTGCAATAAATGGCGAATACTACATCAAGCACTTGATATAAAAATTGATTTTGCGGAAAACATAGTTAAAGCCATATGTGTATTGCATAATTATGTCAGGATAAGAGACGGCTTCAAGTACTAGGATACACTTTATACAGCACTATTGTCTAACCAAAATCCATCATATACTGGACGGACTGTAAGAGATGCTGACGTAATTCGAAATTACAGCTACAGCTTACTTTATAAATGAAGGAAAATTAGAGTGACAAGACAGCATGATTTAAATATTTTTTGTAATTTCTAGATATGTATCGAAATAAAATCAATAACATATTTTAAAATTAACTTTTGCTCACCCAAATTTTTTTTTTGTCTTCAGTATCTTTAATGCGCTCGTCCATGTGAACCCGCCCTTAGGCTCGTCCGGATTTTTATCAATACTTGTAGTTCAAATTTAAATGTTTAGGCAGATGCTATCAGCCCGTGTCAACTTGTACTTGTAGACTGTAGTTCTAGTGGCTGTTGGTGTAACTCAAAAGAGATGCAATGGCTGCGCTAGTATCGAATTCTTTTATCTATGTTATTTACTTCTATGATAAATTATAATTGATAAATTATAGAAGTAGCTGACTTCTCGTTTTTTTTTTGATTTTGCGACCACGAGGTTTATCAATTTATTTGTTAAACTACGCAGAGCGTAATTTATAAATTTTATTAATAATGCCTTCTAATAAATGCTGTGTAGTTGGCTGTAATAGAGTGAATATGGTTTGAAAACATGTTTTTCCACTCGATGACGGTGAATTTGCGATGTAGGTTCAGCTGTCTGGGAATAACAAGTTAAAGTGTCTTACAAAGGAATTTATTAGGAAAACATTCCTAGTTTACTGTAGACACTTTAATAGTAATTGCTACAGTTTTGGTGCTACACGACTGAAACTCATTGCCTTGTTTGAAATTGCCAAGTATTTATATTACTATTTTAAATTGTGGTTAATGTGTACACCGAGATTGTATCTCATATTCGACCTTGTGATTAAATCTATGAAATTGTTTGTAGAATATAGCAGTTTAATTTAAAAGTACCATGTGTTGTAGCCTTGTAGGTTAGGTAATTATTAATTTATTTATTACTTTAATGTTGCTTTTTTATCTGTTTTAATCATTAAGTAGTTAATGAATTCTATGTTTTTGTGCAATAAAATGTTATGGAAGTTATGTAATATCATGCTATAAGTCTACTTATGTAATGATAGCTAGTAGATAGATTTTTAAGTCAGTGTTATTGTTTTATGTACCTAATTATTAATTTGTAAAAAACCTGTACCTAAATATAATGAGGTATTAATATGATTTGAATTGAATTCTTGTGTGTGACTTGAATACAGTAGACGCGGCTACGACGGCGGTGTGGTGATGTCGTGGTAGGCCGATCGCGAGATGTGGTGTAAGGTGTAGGTGGAGGTGACACTTAAGAAAAAATAAACCGTGTAGGTACCACTGATTAAGTAGGACAGCCGCGTGGCGTTTATCGATAACTGACAACACAAGACATAAATAGTCGTGGTAAAAAAATAGGAAGAAAGTGAATCGTCACTGTACGGCTGAGCTTTTTGGTCGGTGAAAAAGAGTGTCCGTGCGTGTCGGATTATATCGAGAGTCGGCGTGTTGGTGGATCGCACGGAGGTCGGTACTCGTCAACGCGACTTGTCTTCCCGTCCCGCCCTGTACCTTTCGGCAATGTGGGGAGAGTCGACTAAAGGAGCGCGCACACCAGATCCGTTTCGTTACGTTCCGTCACGTTACAGTGAAAAAGCGCACACTATAGATGCGTCTATTTCCGTAAAGGATTAGGTAGTCACGCAAACGAGAAGAAGTAGATGAGTTTATTTTGGACATTATTGAACACATTAAAATCACAAACACACGTAATACGAGCAATGACTGCGATATAACACGAACTGACTGATTATTTGTTATTTGACCGAATACGGGTGACGATCTACAGTCAATAATAAAGTAAGATAAGATAAAAACTAAATTGTACTTAGAAGGCATTGTATAAGATCAACCAAAAAAATATGCACTTTTCATTGAATTCCGGGCCCTATTTATAACTGTTCATGTTGGGGCTTGCGGGAGAAACAGTGATGGTGGAATTTTCAGATCATCATCTTTGAGATCTTTAAGCCCTTGCTATGGGACTTTAAATATCCCCCCCCACCAAAACCGTTACCACTTTCAGACGTAATCGTTTGCGATGAAGCATTTCCTCTCACTAAAAATACAATGAGACCGTTTCCAGGGAACGCACTTGAAAATAATCGAAACAATAAGGTCTAAAGCTACCACCATTGCCTAGCTAGAAGAAGAGTAGTTGAAAATGCATTCGGTATATTAGCAAAAAAATTTAAAATTTATAACAGAAAATTCAACTTAAAACCAGAGAACATGGACACAGTTATATTGGCGACGACAGTGTTGCATAATTTTTTGCGAAATGATAAATGTTATTGGCAACCAGAAGAATTGGAGGATACAAATACTCTAGAAGGGTTGAACAACTTTACAAGAGTTGGAGGAAATAATCCAAGAGAAGCATTTATTAGAAGAGAAAACTTCACGTACGCGAAGTTGGCACCCCGACATCTTCTGATCAGAACCAAATCGGTGTCATCTTTTTGCAACCAATTTGCAACGCATTTTTTACGGCGCTACAGACAAACATAGCATTGGGGTGCCAACTGCACGTTGCACCCCGATATCGTCTGATCGGTTCCAAATCGGAGTCATTTTTTTGATTCGTCAACATTTGGCGGTGTTTAAGTTTTTTTCGGAATACTGCCATGGAATATTAATAAAGAGTGCTGGATTTCACTTAGAATCTTGAGAATCTCGCCAAGTTCCATGTGTCCAAAACGTTTCACATCCATCCCATGTATGCAAAGCTTAGCATTAACGAGTTCATAAATTAAAAGTTAATTTTTTTTAAATTGTTCACTTAGTTTATTAGTTTGCTTTTTTATTTAACTCAACTTTAATTTAACTCATTTTAATCTACGTTAACTTAGAATCAACTTATATGATTTATGATATTCCCAATTATGTTAATTTTAAATTTGTTTTCCTAACCATTAATATAAAAATAAAATGCGCTCCAGAAAGTGGTATATTCGTTTGTTCTACCATTTCATTGATTTGACAGTTGTAAATTCATGGTTATTATATAAGAGGGTCAGAGAAGAACAGAATTTGCCTGTACAGTTTGAGCTAGCTGACTGGAGAAAGAAAATAGCATACTCATTGACAAAATCAGGAGATTTCAAGAATCAAAGAGGACGTCGTTCTATATCTATAGAAACTAAAAGGGCTTCGACAAGGGCTTTAGCAATGCACCCAACTCGTGCAGTTAGAACTGATGGTGTTGGGCATTCTCAAATAAGGGCAAATAAACGAGGAAGATGTAAATTCCCAAAATGCAATGGATATACCTGGATACAATGTAATAAATGTGATATTCTTTTATGCAACTCAAAGACTAAAACATGTTTTAATAGATATCATGATGAATAATCTGTGATTTTATTTCATTATTATTATTTTAAAAACTCTGTTAWTGTTTTTATAATTTACAAGTATTTCAAAAGTGATAAATTTATTTGAAAAGTTGAAGTTTTTATGTTAATTTTATTATTATTATGTATTATTTAATATTTTAAAAGTTGAATTTGTTGTTATTATAATATAATTATAATTAATAATTTTTTTTTTTTCAATAAAAGTTGAAATTTATTAAGTACAAGTGACGCGGGCCCGCGTAATAGCCGTTTGAATTCAAACGGCCTTTGCCCGGCAAACCACGCAATTACTTCTCTTTTCAACCGCCAATCGACGACGGACGACACCGACACGCGATAAGCGCGCCTGGAACGGTCGATCCGCCGAGACTCCGAACCGGTCGACAGTAGAGTGAGTTCTCTGACCGACACTGAACGACACACGCTCCTCACCACCCCGCTATTTTGATTTTCGTGTTGATCATTTTCTGGCGGTTGTATTTTCAACCACCACAATAAAAAAATCATTATACCGCGAACTGTTTGTGTTTTTCTTTTCACCACTTCCTACACTAGTGACACCACTGACTCACGCGGTATCCGTCCAGGACCGCCACACAAGTATATATGATTGCTATTAATTATGACAAAAGTGAATTATTCATGTGAAAAAAAAAATGTATTATTAAAATTAATGATATCATTTTTGCCCACTGTTGCAAATATGCAACATACTTAATACCTAAATTTTTAGTTTTAAAATGAAGTTTGTGATTTTTTTCATGATTTTTCCTGAATTGCTGGTATTTTAATTAGTTTAAAAAGATTTATTTACAAAAAAAATAAAATCGGGCATTGAAGGGTTAATACCTTATTATTTATCGGGTAGTTATTTGCTCCACGGGCGGTTCCATTTTCCTCCAAAAACGAGATACAGTTTTCCTCCACTGTCCATTTCCTCCACAAAAAAGGTTGGTTTCCATTTTCCTCTACATTATTTTAGACTGTAATTATGTCTATTTTCCTCCAATATTTTAGCCAGTGTTGTAGTATTACTTTCTGTATTATAAAGATAGGCTAGGATCCAGGGCTTACAAAGTTATAATTACGTTATATTTGACAAAAACCGATTGAAATTTGTAAACATAACCATAACGGAAAACGATAATCAAAAATAATTAAATACTACAAAACAAAACATAACTATTAACAAAATATATTATATTATATCATTGAACAAAACATAACGCAAAACGTAATTTATAAGATATCATTAAACCAATAATAGGTCCATTACCTACCCGAATTAGTTATTATTTTTAAATTTTATAAGTATTAACACCATTTTAAATATCGATAAACGCACAACTTGTATAACGTTTGAGTTCTGAATAACGATAAACACAAAACTTGGATAACGTTTTATTTCTATATATTATATTACATAGTAAATAACGATAAACGGAAAAGTTGAATAATATTTTAATTCTAAATAACGATAAACGCAAAAATTGCGTAACGTTATAATTGTACATAACATAAAAAATAATTTTTTTTCAAATGCAAGCCCTGCTAGGCTCAC